CATATACTTTATCCAATGTTAAATACTCTACAATTTTTGTTATTCGAATCTAATACTCATTCCTTTAAATATTGTGATAACTCAATAAATACACCAACCCTATTTTCAAAAAATATTATATGTTTGAAGTCTTACATTAAGGCTTAAATACACCATTGTCCCGTGAACTATACCATTTTTATCGAGTTACCTCTAAAATATTTTTAAGATGCTTTGCCCCCTCAACTATAAATCATTAACTTGTTTGCTCCAAATTGTTAACACCATTAAAAAAATTACAGATCAATCAAAACACATCATGACACCTCTTAATTTTTATTTTATTTATCTAAATAAATAAAAATCAATAAAAATAAAATACTTAATATTCCTAAAATACCCTTCTTCCCCATCCACACCCACCGTCAAACCCTCCATTTCCCAGCAGCCATGATTGAAGTACCAAAGTGATTAGAGAATTCATCCATCAATTTCTGGGGAAAATCGACAACATTGTTAGTGAAAATGAAACAATAGCCAAAACTTCAAAATTTTCAAAACCCCACGTTGAAAACAGAAAATGCTTAAGATTTCTTCATCCAAAACAAGTGGAATAACGGGACAGAAAATGCTTTATATATTCATTCCCAAAATCCCACATTGAGAGGTTGAGACACACCAGTAATACAAGCACCAAAGCTTCAAAATTTTGAAATTGGTTTATGTCACGTTGATTTTGTGAATGAATATATAAAACAAGTGGAATGAATACCCAAGTGCTCATTGCTCATTGTTAGGGAAAATGAAACAATAGCCAAAGATTCGAAAAAAAATCAAAACCCCACTTCAATTGTTTCAAGGTAATGGTAACCATTAATGAGAAATCTCCAAATCTTAGGTGTCATGTTGCTCATACAAGCAAGAAAATCACTAGATATTGTTTCAATATTCGCTCTTTCCACTTGGCTAAAGAATTCGGCACCCGAGATATACAGCAATAAGTACTTGGAAAAGAGAGAGGAAAGGAGGGAGGGAGGAGCGATTCGACGGAGGAAGAAGCGATGGCTGAGTGGGAGGAGGAGCAGGCGACGGAGCAGTAAAGAGGGGCGTGGGAGGGATGTAAGGGGGAAGAGAAAGTGGGAGAAGCAAGAGGAACAACGGGAAGAGGAGAAGGAAAAAAGAGGTGTTTGTTTAGGGAAAATGGTGGTGTTACAGGTTGGGGTGTACAAAAATATCTGACCTGGTTGACTCGACTTGCCGACTCGTTGACCCGAACCTAGAAATCAGATAATTTTCTAAAAAGATTACTTGACCGGGTTTGGTACTCGGCCCGACATTTCCTGAATCGGGTCGGGTCACAAAATTGAGTTTTTTCAGGTACCCGATTAGTTTTTATATATATATAATATAATCCAATTACTAAACCATTAACATGATAATTTGTATAAATATTAATATTATTTGTAATTGGATTATAATTGGATTAAGTTTTGATAGTTTAGTAATTGAATTATGACTATCAAATATGATATTAATTTAACTGGACTATAATTGGATTAATTTTTTATAGTTTAGGTAATTAAAGTCTAGGTAATTAAATTATATAAATGGGTCGTGATTATAATTTAACATTATAATTGAATTAAGTTTCGATAGTTTAGTAATTGGATGTTAATGACTATCATAATTCATATTTACCCTAGTTAGCTATGAATTTTTATGTTTTATTTATATTATGGATTATTAGATTTTGTATTTCAAACTTTTAAATTTTATATTCGGATGTTGGAGTATGTAATTCGAAGTTTTGAACATTTAAATTTGTGTATATATTTTTTTAAAATTAATAATTTGAAAATAAAAAAAAAACCGGGTATCGGTTACCCGAATTACGAGTACCCGCAAAATCTAGGTACCCAATTACCAAGTACCCACAACATCTGGGTCGGGACAAGGGCCAACAAATCAACTACCCGAAGATCCGGGTACCCGAGATTTCGGGTACCTAAAAACCCGAGTGTAGACACCCGTTTTTTTTTCGGGTCTCGAAAATACATTATATTATTATATTATTATTATTATTATTACTATTAATAATTATTTTGTTTACATATTTTGCAGTCCAAATGTGGCCCAATTACAACACAAGCCCAACACTAATCCAACCCAACAGACCCAACCAAGCCTACAAGGACCAACCCGGCCCAACAACAGATACCCACCAGGATCAGACATGATACCAAGCCCACCCAGAAGCTGGCCCATCTGGAGCCCAACTGCAACCCGAAACCAAGATCCAACCTTACTCGAAAACCTAAACATATTAGGGTTTTCAACATATCAGTTCCAGCCGCTGCCAACAACAACAACTCTTCAACTCTCCAGCTGTCGCGTGCTTCCTAAGCCGATCAGAACCCATACCGAACAATGACAACCATCTATCAACCAAATCAAGAATCAATTCAAAGTTAGAAAAATTTTAAAAAATATATGGACAAATCTCAATGAAATCTCAAGAGGATCTAGGGTGTTGTCAATCCACCGAATCAATCACTCAGCATCTAACAATCAGATGAAAAAGAAAGAGAAAAGAGGAGATAAAAGAGGGAATCATTCGGGGAAACCAATTTTCAGGGAGGGGATTTTGGGGGGGGGGAATAGAGAGTTTGAAGAAAAGAGGAGAGAAAAGAAAGAGAAAACATAGAAAAAAGAATAAAAAAGAAAAAGAAAAAACAAGACAAAAACATAAAGAATGGGATATAAGGTCAGAGGCTTACCTCCTCGTCGAACACCGTGAGCACCAGGGGTCACCGGAGATTGAAAAATACGAGGAGTTCTTCATGGATCTATGCCCTTTGAGCCCTTTCTAGGCGAAACCAACCATGGATTCACGACCAGGGGAAAGAGCGCTCCAGTTTGTGCTATTTTCTCTCTTCTCCGACGTTGGCGAACGACGGTTGTCGTCGGTCAGGGACAGTCGACATGGCGGGGAGCTCGCCGATTTCTGAGATCTCTCTCTCTTCTCTCTCGTTCACGCAAATAGAGAAGAGGCAAATGAGGTAAATGGACTATTTTGGCCGTGGGTTTGGGATTATATACTAGGCACGAAACGGTGCCGTTTTGCACCCTTCTTCTCTCCGTGTTTTTCTGTTTAGGGTATAATAGATGTATAGGTCCCTACTACTTTGTAATTTCTTGATTTGGTCATTAAATGAAAAATGTTATTCTGTTTTAGGCATGTATCTTTTAATACTTACATTTAAGTCACCAATTAACTTATTATACCATTAATTGTGGTTTAATTATGGTTTGGTCCTTTATGTTTCTGCTTATTTCATTTCATTCCTTGGTATTATTTATGGGTTATTCTCATTTCTAGTTCATGTACTATTTAATATTCGTGATTTTGGCTCTGGTTTATTTGTAATTATTGTTTAGCCCTTCAAATTTCTATTTTTACTATTTTAGTCATTTAAATTTCCATTTTTTCTATTTTAGTCCTTTAAATTTCTATTTTTACTATTTTAGTCCTTTAAATTTCTATTTTTACTATTTTAGTCCTTTAAATTTATGTTTTTACTATTTTAGCCTCTCAAGTTTCTGATAGTTTTATTTTGGTCCCTTAAAATCATCAAATGTTATTTTTATGTTATTTGTGTTTAGATATGTGATTTTTTTATTTTACTTCGTTCTAGTCTTTCATGTATATGTATTTTGTATATAACGACTCTCGGTATTATTTTATATGCATTATTAGTTTTATGTGTTTTAAATATTTATTTTATAAATTTCAAATTGTATTTGTTTTCATTGTGTTCTTTATCTATAGATTTGTTTCGAATGGTTTCGAGAACAGTATTTGTAGAATAGGCGTGGAAAGTATCACTTGATCGAAGTGGTACAATTCGATATGACATTCGAACAAAATACGAACCTGAAATAAATCAATTTCATTCTGCTAATTATTAATTCATTTTATTTTAAGTCGAACAATGTAATAAATATTTATAATTAGCCATTTTATTTTATTTTATGTTGATATTCAAGTTATATTCGATTTGTTTTTTTAAAATCAATGTGGGGATAATATTATTTACGAATGAGAAATAGTTGAGATAGCTTTCCCGACAGAGGATTGTAAATCTCAAGATTTTTTATTGAGTTAAAGGATTTTCTTTAATTAGTTAATTCAAAGAAAATTAATTATATTTCAATAAAGGGAACATATTCTAAATCTCGATTCGATTCATCATTTATACTACTACGACAACGTGTAAGCGACACAATACTAATTTTGGACGTTGTGGGGTGTTTTTCATTCCCCACGCGTAACCGACTGCCGAATCCTTTAAATTGATTTTTTGGTAAACGCAGACCAATTTTTTTCTTATAAAAAGATTTTTCTTAAAATTATTTTAAAAGAAGTTTTTAGGTATTCAACTTACCTAACCCAAAGGTCGATGGCGACTCCTATCTATTTTCATCCAAATTAATCCAAAATCATTTTTTTCAAATAAAAGTCATAATTTTTTTTTAAATAATACTTAATTGTTTAATAAAAAATGGTTCAGGATTTGAACACCCCTAATTACAAGGAGAGATGGGGCACTTTTGATAATTTATCTATTTTATTTTTTATTTGATATTTATTTATTTAGATAAAAAAATAAAAATTAGAAGATGATATGGAATGTTTTGATTGGGTTGTGAATTTTACTTTAACGGTGTTAATGATTTGAAATAAACAGAGTAATAATTTATAGTTGAGAAGAAAAAATATCCCAAAAACTACTTTAAAGACAACTTGATAAATATTTAAACCTTAAATTAACACCTGTCGGTAATGTCTAGAAGAAAAACATAAAATTAATATCCCAAAATCTGATATTATTCCTCCGGCTCCGGCCCAATAGAAGTAGACAAATAACCATTGAATTGAACGCACAATTCTGTTTAGACAGTCAAGAGGCCGCAAAAGCTCAGAATACCGAAAACAAAATCTACCACCACACTCTCTCTCATAGCTCCTATCCTCGCCGTCAATGGTGTTTTTATCTCTAATTCTGCTCCCTTTCCTTCTCCTCCTCCTCTACTTCATAGTGCGTCCCCGCCCCATCAACATCCCAATCAATAACCGTCACGTCTTCATTACGGGTGGGTCAAGCGGCATCGGTCTAGCCTTAGCTCACCGAGCCGCCTCCAGGGAGCTCGAGTTTCACTCTTAGCTCGATCTCTTCGAAAACTCGAAGAAGCCAAGGATTCGATTCGTCTTTCCTCCGGTGTCGACGTTTCCATATTTTCTGCCGATGTTCGTGACTACGACGCCGTTCAGAAGGCTGTTAACGATGCGGGACCCATCGATGTCCTTGTAATTAACCAGGGGGTTTTTGTGCCTCGGGAACTTGAGAAGCAGGGATTGGATGAAGTCAAGTTTATGCTGGATGTGAATTTGATGGGGAGTTTTAATGTCATCAAAGCTGCTTTGCCGTTTATGAAGCAGAGGATGGACCGTTTGCCCGCTTCAATCGCTCTTATTTCTTCCCAAGCTGGTCAGGTGAGTATCTGAAATCATTGAATTACTACCAGTTTTATTTATTTATTTTTGCAACTTAGTTTATGTAAGGCATTAAACTTTAGTTATTTTGCAAATGATGAATGTAAAAATGATTTCCCTTGTTGCTTTCTAATTGAACTTCTTAATATGTATGTTTAGGTGGGAATTTATGGTTACACAGCATACTCGGCCAGTAAATTTGGGCTTCGGGGACTAGCAGAAGCATTGCAGCAAGAGGTTATTGTGGATAATATCCATGTATCTGTTGTATTCCCACCAGATACTGACACTCGTGGTTTTGAGCAAGGTTCGAGACCCTTTTCTTTGAACCTTCTACCTTCTTGTATGGCGTTACTTTTTGATAACCTAGATTTACTATTAAAATCCCAGTTGCATTTTTGTATAGTTGTGAATTCCACTTTATAATAATCAGGTTTTGAGTTTAGTTCTCGAGTGTGAAGAATTGATGGGATTGATGACTTCTGATAGTATACTGAACATGATGCTGGTTCAATCTGAACACGCATAGAGAAGTTTGAAGTTCTCTTAGATGGTAGTTATTGTTTGTATTTCTCCATTAATCCGATTCCAATGCAATCTTAAATGTTTGTTCTGCCATTAGGAAACATAAGCTGAATATAGATTTCAAATGGTAATCGTTGACAAATGAAAGTACCTCTGTTGTATTTCTTGATAATAAATTTGAGTATGAGCTGCCCTTTTGCAGAACAAGAAGTTAGACCAGAGCTCACAAAAATACTAGCGGGCTCCTCTGGTTCAATGAAAGCAGATAGTGTTGCCAAGAAAGCTTTAGATAGCATCCAATCTGGAAGTTTCATTGTCCCTTGTAACTTTGACGGGAACACGCTGGCTATAGCCACTGCTGGTTTATCTCCCCAAAGATCTTTCTTGATGGCATCCATTGAGGTGATTTTTGCTGGTGTATTACGTCTTGTAGGATTATTTTTCCAGTGGAACTGGTATCGGTGCATAGAACATTGGAATACAAAGGAAAAGTGTAAGTAAGTTTGCAAATAAAAGATTTGTCTATTTATACACCAGCGGTAAAGATATTTGTGCCGGTTTTATTGGAATTAGTTTTGTCTATTTAGTTCTTTCGAGTTGTTTTTCTCAGAATCTTATGTCGAATGGTCAAGAAGTTTATTTGGTTATCTTCAAATTAAGTCATCTATTTTCAAGTAGAAGTATTTAGATTGCCCCCCTTAGGAATCTTGGTTATTAGAATATCGTGTTAGATTCTTATCTGTCATTACTGAAGTTAAATTTTGACATTTCCAGTGCCTTCAATAATTAGGACATGTCCTGAAGAGGCTTTCTTCCTTATGTTTCATTATTAAAGCTTTTGTGTGGTAGTATTTTAAACTACAGCATCGTGTTTGAAGTTCAATATGGTAGATAGTTTTACTTTCACATGGAAATCTTTGCCAAAAAATAAAATGATAATTTTCCCCTTCTAAATCATGAGAACCAATAAACTAAGATCGATAGTGTCTTGTTACCTGCGGCGTATATAGTCACTTATATTTGGTAGGTACCATTGTTAATCAGAATATGAACTATAATTTCTCTAATTACCATGTTCATTTTATGGAGGAAATTTCTCTTTTAGAATTTAATGTTGAAGTTATGGCTATACGTCTTTGTTTCTTACTCTTTTACGTGCATGATTATCAGACCTATTGGGTTGAGCAGTTTTTAATTAGTCTCCCGGATCAATTGAGCTTAAATCGGATTTAAAATTAAGGGCCATTTTGGAGAGATTTTCATGAAATTAGCTAAATTGCAAAAATAGGGATTTATTTGAAAAGCAAGTAAATTTCCAAACTTTTGAGAGACAATTTTACCAATTTTTAAAATTGGAGGCAAATCTACTTGAGGTATTTTTCATACCTGACAGTTTATTTCCACAAGGAACTCATTTTCAGTTTTTAGTTTTCTCTCACATCTCTCATTTTCTCTCTAGAATTCGCGCACCCGAACTCATTTTATAAATCAATAAAGTTTGATGGAGGTTTTCGATAAAATTTTGTTAATAGAGGGGTCCAAGATGAGATCTCATACAAAAGGCTCTAGCCTCTAAGTGATTAACAAAGTTATTTTGAGGTGTTTACAATAAGGTTTCGTTAATTCAAATTAAAGGTTTCAGAGAAAGGAAGAAATCGACTACTAGACCAGTAAATCAGCTAGCTTAGAGAAGTAAATAGAGAGGATGGTGAAACTAGTGATGACAATTTAAAATCGATAAATTTTGATAAGATCCAACTTGATAGGGTTGGATATTTTTTTATAAAAAATTGAGTTCGAGTCAAGTTTTATGAAGGATTAGGTCAGATCGAGTTCGGTGAAGGGTATCAAACCTTCGACCTGACCCGACCCGTGGTAATAGAGTATTTTTTTTATATAAATTTATGGATAATTGTTATAATACCCTTTCTGTCTATAGTTTTTTTTTAATTAAGTCCTTAATTTATGTCGGGTTAGGTCGGATCGAATTAGGTTTATAGTCCAACAAATCGAGTTGGGGCGGGTTAGAATGCATAGTATATTTTTTTGGTTGGCTCGGGGTAAGATGAAAAGTATATATTTTTAGGTCGGTTTCGAGTGGAGACTATATATTTCTCGGGTCAAATCGGATCATCTAGAAATGAGAACCAATCCAACATGTTGCCATCTCTACGTGAAACAATGGGTTATCTGCTTCATTCGTGTTAAATCAATACTAATAGATATTTTCTGAAGTTTTTTCAAGAAACAAAAAAGATCGGATCAAATGCCAAAAGGGAAAAGGGCAAGACGGTTGTGGAATAAAGCGATCAGCATTGAATCAGAAGAGTAATCGATGGAACAATTTTCAAGTCTTTAAAAGATCAATTTCAAATCCTTACTAAAGTATAAAATTGTGTTTTAATCTTAAAATATTTTTGAAACAATTTTCATAAAGTATTTCGAACAAAAAAGAGCCAAATATCAATTTTTCAGAGTAGTGTACAGATAAACTATATAATGCATCGATGCACCCTTGAATAAATTGAATTTCGAATGCATTTTGTGTACCGATGCACAAGGCATGCATCGATGCACTCCTAAATAATTTGAACATCGAATGCATTTTATGTATCGATGCACAGACCATGCATCGATGCACTCCAGGCTTATTTGAAGCATCAAATGTATTTTATGCATCGATGCACCCCTAGTGTATCGATGCACTAAGTCTTCCAACGGTCGAAATATTTGAATTTTGCACATAGTGTACCGATGCACATTGCCTATGCATCGATGCACCATACGCTCCCAACTGTTTTATTAATTGTTTTCACACAATAACAGCTCTATTGACTCCACTAATGATCCCCCAACGTTCAGAAGTAAGCCAAGATGTATTTAAATAAGCTTATGAGCCATTGATCAACAACAATTATCAAGAATCAAAGAGAAAGCATCAAACCTCAAGTTTAAGTATTTTCAAGACTATTTAATTCAATATTAATTTTTGCTTTTAAGAACACTTATTGTACTCAATTGCATTATTCTTGAGTGTTCTTTCTTTGTTCTAGAATTGTGCAAACATCTTTCCATGTGAGGATTTTCTTGTAAGTTTGCAAAATTTGTATTGTTCTCTTTATGAGAGAGTGTTCTCAAGAATTTGGAGTATAATTCTTGAGGGATTTGTAAGGTTACTCTTTGTCCTCAAAAGAAAGACAAATTGGTAAATTTGTAGAAACTCCTTAGTGTGGATAGCTAAGGTAGTGGACATAGACTTTGGTTGAGAAAGTCGAACTACTCTAAATTGATGTGCAAATATTTTCAATTTTCTATAAAAGCTTCCACCGAAATTTTTATTACCAATTCACCCCCTCTTGGCCTATTCCGTCGATCGATTAACTCAAAAATTGGTATCAGAGCCTCACACATTTGAAGGTTTAATTTCCTCTTGAGTCGATTCGGGAAGAGTTACATCGATAATCAAGTCATTAATGGCCTCCACTTTAAACCACGACTTCGATCTTGACTCATTGTCCGTCAACAAGCTTCTTTTCTTAAATGGAGCTAATTATTCCTATTGGAAGAATAGAGTGATGTATTTCATTCAAGCAAGTGACATGGGAGCATGTAATATCATAGAAGATAGATACATCAAACCTTCCACTCATCTAAGATTGTGGAGTGAAGGAGAGTCAAGAATGTTCCAACTCAACTCCAAAGCTATCCATATTATTTTTTGTTCTCTTGGACCGAATGAATATGGGAGAGTATCATCTTGTACAACTGCCAAGGAAATATGGGATAAACTACAAGTCACTCATGAAGGCACAAACGAGGTAAAAGAATCCAAAATTAGTCTTCTAACTCATAGCTATGAAAATTTCAGGATGAAGCCAGATGAAGATATCAAAGCTATGACGAATAAATTTTCCATGATTGTCAATGGTCTCAAATCATTTGGAGAGTTCATTCAAAATGAGAAGATTGTGAGGAAGTTAGTTTACTCTCTTCCAAAATCTTGGCAATCAAATTAGATAGCGATCATCGAGGCTAAGAACTTAAAATCCTTAACTCTAGATGAGCTAATTGGTTCTTTCCTCACTCATGAAAATATGCTTCAAGATGAGGTAGACCTCGAAAAGACGAACGAGATAAAGAAAGAGACAAAAAAGAAGAAGAACGTGGGAGTTGCTCTCAAATCCACAAAAGATGAGAGTGATTTGGATGAAGATGACGATGACAAGGAAATGGAATTATTTGCCAAACGGTTCATAAAATTGATGAGGCCCAACCGAGGAAGAAAATTCAAATGCAATGAAGGGTTCAAAAATGAACCGAATGAGAAAGACCATATCATTTGATATGAGTACAAAAAGCCAGGGCATGTCAAATATGATTGCCCTCTATTGAAGAAAAATGGTCAATCAAAGAAGAAGAATAAGGCTCATGTGGCTATAAGGAGCGATGAAGAAGGTTCCGATGAAGAGGAACAAGAAGTGACAAACTTGTGCTTGATGTCCGTCAGGGAAAACTCTCAGGTAACCTCTAACTCATTTGATTCAGATGAATTATCTTATGATGAGTTATTAGAGGATTACAATGGGTTGGCTTCGATTATAAGACTCTATTTTCAAAATACAAAAATGTTGTTTCAAAATTGAAAATTGAAAATAGTCTTATGTCCAAGACCAACAATGAGCTTGAAAGTAAGATTAAAGAATTGTAAATCAAAATTAATGATTTTGAAAAGAAAAATATTGATTTGCATAACTTACTTTCAAAAGTTCATGATGATCATCAAAACAAAATTGATGATCTTAAAACCTCTTTTAATAAAGTTGGAACAAAAAGTTTTGAAAAATGTGAAAATTCAAAATCCAACTATATTAAAAAGAGCTTTAAAAATTACAATCATAGAGGTCCCTAAAGAACCTCAAATAAAAAAATCGTTAGAAGTATATGGGTTCCCAAAGAATTCATTACTATTAAAGATAAGGATATCCTACACAAATGGATACCCAAGGGGACTAGGATTTTGGAAACTAATGAATATGGACCTAAAAAAAAATTGGGTACCAAAAATCAAAAATTAATCTATGTTTGTAGGGAAATGAGCATTGCTACAAGGCACGAGAAACAAATCCAAACTCATGGTACCTTGATAGTGGATGCTCAAGACACATGACCGGAGACAAGAGCCGGTTCATAGAGCTTAACGCTAAAAATGGAGGAGAGGTAACTTTTGGAGATAATTCAAAAGGTCACGTTGAAGGTATAGGCACTATAGGTAATACCTCTTCCATACAAATTAAGAATGTTTTATATGTGAATGGATTAAAGCATAATCTATTGAGTAGAAGTCAATTATGCGATAAGGGATTCAATGTCATGTTTGAAATTAATGGTTGTAAAGTTATTGACATTGCATCTAATCAGGTTATGCTTGTTGGTCATAGAATAGGAAACATATACATGGTGCATTTAGATTCTATTGATATGAATAATTTATGCCTAGTTGCTAAGGATGAGCATGACAGTTGGTTATGGCATAAGAGACTATGACATGCTAGTGTGAGTGTTTTGCAATGGTTCATTCAAGGAGATTTGGTTCGAGGGTTGTCTAAACTAAAATTTGATAATGATAAAATATGTGATGCTTGTGCTAAAGGAAAACAAAAGTGAATTTCTTTTAAATCCATTAATGGCGTATCCACTAGTAAAGTATTACAATTTTCCATATAGATCTTTTTGGGCCATCTAAGACTACTAGCTTGGGTGGAAAACAATATGCATTTGTCTTGGTAGATGACTATTCTAGATATACTTGGGTTCTATTTTTAAGTACTAAAGATGAAGTATTATAAAAATTCATCACGTTTTCAAAAGTAATCCAAAACAAAAAAGGTTACTCTATAACTAGTGTTAGGAGTGATCATGGAACTGAATTTGAAAATCTTGGATTTACTGAATTTTGTAATTCTAATGGTATTAGTCATAATTTTTTAGCACCTAGAACC